TAGCAGAGTACTACACTCAGAACCCCTGAGATGCGGTAGACGTGGCTGCATACTTGAACTGGACATGGCGCTGGCTGACCTTTACGGGAGATATTTTGATTTTGGGAAAGTTGCATTCATGTCTTTGTCCTACACAGAACAATTTTACAGCTGCCTCAGAGTTAAAAGTCCCCGAGTGACCCACTCTACGCCATCTTCGAATGCCACGCCTACTCTGTCCCAGGGATGAGTAGTAAACTTCTTTAGGGAAACCCCATCAGAAGGTCGTACTTGGTCGCTGTGGAGGTGGGTCGTGTTTGCTTTGAGTAGACATTTCCCGATCCACAAGGAAACTTTTTCAACACTTTATCGGCTTTTTTTGTTTCGTGTGCCCTCAAGCTGCCTGCCGCCGCCAAGACTAGCGTAAAACTATTATTTCTGATAATTCTCGTCAGTTGGTTGTTAATGAAGACCTTTCTGTGCTCAAAGCTAGAAGTCTTTTGACGAAAACTGGTCAATGTTTCGGAACACTGAAAAAATGGCTAGAAAGTTAAGAAAAGTAAGGAAGACGGTATTAAGGATAGGGAAGTGGATCGCAAGACGAGGAAATGGGAGCCGGGAGGGAGGGGGTCAAACCGCACCGCCATTTCACATATCACGTTGCTATATCCTCGGCGGAAAGCCGCTGCCTAGTTTATGGAGACTTGTGATCTGCTCAGGACACGTCCTCCCGCTGAAGGAACTTTTCGTGCTACGATTCCACCCCCCAATTTCGTCCTCCGCTATGATTCCCTCCCCCTTTTTTCCCCAGCCTACCTATCATCTTGCCAATTTTCCAAGCTTCCCACCACTTTTACCGCAACATCCCAAAAATTTTCCATTTTTTCCCCAAAATTTTGCCGTCGCCAAAAAACTTGTCACCAACCAAATTGTCCCCATTTGTCACCAACCAACTATACTACCTTCAACTATCGAAAATAGGAGTTGTTAGTAGTTGTGTAGTAGCTCTTATTGCTAGAGCGCGATAAATCCCCAAAACGTGTAGGATTATTATGCCCAGCAGGAGAGAATTTGGTGCCCGTGAGAAGCGCTGCATGGCAGCCTACTCAAGGAAACTCATAGCGCTCCATCAGGCCGTAATATACCGACCCGGACGCCCACGCGCCCCCTGCCCATACATTGTCCGACCGATGCTGACGCTCTTAACAGGGCACTTGTCAACCAGATGTGCTCTCACTGCGAGGGTCCAGGGGTATTCTTTCGTGGCATCTACTAGCCCAGTAGTTGAAGGGAGAAGGTAAAGAAGGAGGGAACAGAGAAGGAAGGAAGGAAAAGAAGGAAGGAGGAAGAAAAAAGGGAGAAGAGAGGCTCCGCAGTTGACAAGTGCCCTGAGA